GGAAATCAGCCCTCTGTTGGATGTGGGGTTAGTGAATATCTTTTCCCAATCTGTGGGCTGCCCTTTTGTCTTGTTGACTATGTCCTTTGCCTTACAGAAGCTTCTTAGATTCAGAAGGTCCTATTTATTAATTGTAAATCTCAGTGTCTGTGCTACTGGTGTTATGTTCAGGAAGTGGTCTCCTGTACCAATTCGTTCGAGGGTACCACCTGCTTTCTCATCTAAGAGGTTCAGTGTGGATGGATTTATGTTGAGATCCTTGATCCATTTGGACTTAAGCTTTGTGCATGGTGATAAATATGGATCTATCTGCAGTCTTCTACATGTAAGCATACAGTTATGCCATTATGTTAAAGATGCTTTCTTTTTTCTATTGTGTAATTTTAGCTTCTTTGTCAAAGATCAGATGTTCATAGGTGTGTGGGTTCATATCAGGGTTTTCAACTGGATTTCACTGATCTACCTGTCTATTTTTGTGCCACTACCAAGCTGTTTTCAGGACTATAGCTCTATAATAGAGCTTGAAATCAGGGATGGTGATGCCTCCGGAAGTTCCTTTATTGTACAGGGTTGTTTTGGCTCCTGGATCTTTTGTTTTTTCCATATAAAGTTGAGAATTGTTCTTTCAAGGTCTGTGAAGAATTTTTCTGGGATTTTGATGGGGACTGCACTGAATCTGTAGATTGCTTTTGGCAAGATTGCCATTTTCACTACATTGATCCTACCTATCCAAGAGCATGGGAGATCTTTCCATTTGTGGGGTCTTCTTTAATTTCTTTCTTTAAAGACTCCAAGTTCTTGCTATACAGGTCTTTAACCTGTATAGCATTACCACAAGGTACTTTATGTTTTTTATGGCAATTGTAAAGGGTGATGTTTCTCTGAATTCTTTCTCAGTCCATTTATAGTCTGTTTTATAGTAGGGCTACTGATTTTTTTTAGTTAATCTTGTATCCTGCCATTTTCCTGAAGGTGGCTAAAACCCCTCTTCTTCCAATAAGATACCCTCATACTTTTTTCCCCATCATGACTCACTGGGTTTAATTAAGGCTTAAATGAGAGATTTAAAAATAAATATAGAAGCTACATGACTGCAGAGCAATGTTTAGGAGAAGGATATGAACACTGGCTTGCTAACTCCAGCCAACACATGAGAGTCCCCTGGAGGTATTCTAAAAGATAAGACTCTCCCAAGCCCATTCTAAGGTTGGTTAAATCCCCAAAGCTGGGACATCAGGATGCCCAGTCCTTTAATGCTCCCTGTGTGATTCCTGCAGCCAGGGTCCTAAAGCAGCAAGCTAAGCATCACCTAGAGGTTCTGCACAATTAACAGAACTATGGAGTCAAGACTCTTTCCTACTGATTATCCTATGTACAATGGCTGTGCACCACCCGGAACCACTCCAGGCTTTGAGTTCAACTGTTTGGCAATGGTCTACAACCAAAACTACCTACTCAGCAATATCACAGTGTAGGCTTCTCTAGCATATATGTATGGCATATATTAAGGTAAAATGAGAGGGGAGAGAGAGAGACGGAGGGGAGAGAGAGAGAGAGAGAGAGAGAGAGAGAGAGAGAGAGAGAGAGAGAGAGAGAGAGAGAGAGAACTGTCAGGGATTATTTGTTTTGCATACTCCGTACATTTTTGTAGCAGGGTAGATATTACATTACATTAACAAATTCCCCACCTGACCTCCATGGTCAAACATTAGGTTCAGTGAGAACACTGTACAAAAAATTTCCTTCATGATGTGTGTGTGTGTGTGATGGCAAGTGAAATAAAAAAGAAACGAATTCCATGCTTAGAGTCTAGTCCTACCCCAAGAACGATCAGTGTGACTATGCACGTATTCCCATATCTAAAACCAATCTGAAATTGAAAGTGTTATACTTCCAGAACAAAGCATCTTGGACAAAGGACACAGTCTATCTGGATTGTCTACCTTGTACATAATTCTCCCAGCACAGCCTCTCTCTCCGGGGCTGGATGGGATAGCAGAGGGGAGCCACCCTGCCACCCCTAGTCTTCCCTACAGAACCTAGAGCCGTTGTCTGATGAAAGGTGTGATGAAAGATGTAAAACTTCCATTGCCACCCTCCCACACAGCCATGGAACACAGGCACAGAACCCCGCCCTTGCATAGGCGTCAGGGAAGATGTTTGGCTGTGTTCCAGCAGGGGACACCATAAGATGTGGTTTTAATCCTGGGTTTTAAAACAAAACTCCTGAGACTCACTTGGCAAAAGCCACACTGGTCTTTTGGTCTCCAACTCAGCTCAACAATACTGTCATCATTAACAGTTCATGAGATTAATGGCTAAGTCCTTATAAATTAGTGTCATTGTTTATTCAGGGCATTGATAACAGCAGTGGATTAGCCGTATAAACTTTGTGTTTAAAAAGGCAAATGGCACTCTCCAGAAAACCTACGGAGGGTCCCTAACAATCGACAGCCATGCTTTCTCCGTTCTGTTTACTTTTCAGAGCACTCTCAGGGAAACATGCATTCTCAATTAAGCAAAACACAGGCAGGATTCTCATTCAGTCTTGGAATTTGGTCATATATATGTATATAAAGGAACTTTCTCCGCTTTTTACAGCCCCCGCTTTGGGACAAACCTCAACATCTGGACACCAGAATCGAAGCGGCAAAACCCGTGGAGACGCACGTGCAATTTCATGCTTGTAAACCCTCTGTTTTTTAGGGGAAAGGCACGCTGGTGCTTTTCACCCCACAGAAATCTCAAAGAGGGCTTGCCAGAGGCATCCAGAGATAGGAGAACGTTCATGGAGCTCACAATGCTCCAAGGAGTGTGTGCAGACCAGCAGCACCGGATCATTACCTGAAAACTACTGCATGGGTCCGCTTCTTTAACCAAACCCCAGCTGAGAGTCTTGCTCTGAAGACCAGGGTGCAGCATGTGGACCTGTCCTCCTGTGTGCTGAACAGAAATCAAGACTGCCCTGACAAGAACCGCTATCACTCTGGGGAGATCTAAGGGATACTGGTTGGGTTCCCTTGTTCTGTTTTGTTTCAGTCATGAGGTTTGGGCAGGAATGAGAATTTGCTTTGATTTCATTGACTCATCCAGTGGGCTTTCCATCACCAGCAGAGATTCCTCAGCAGGGATGCTGAGCCCCCGGGGAGGGGGGATCCTGGCGCAGTCTGCAGTTGATCAGCGAGCACATCAAAGTGTACAAGCCCATGCACATTCTGGGAGGAAACAGAGAGCATTTGCCCCATTACTAAAGAGACCCACGATTCAAAATGTCCAGAGGCACCGTCAAGTTCTGGAGGAAAGTCACGGAGGAAACCAAAACGCACGTTGGTAACCGAAGTGAGCAGATACTCGGAGCCTGGCTGTATCCCGCAGAGTTCCAAGGACAGCCACGGTCCATGCGGTAATGCGCGGGACGGCAACTGGCCAGCCCAATGGCAAATCACCCTGGGGCTGGAAGAGCTCTGGGGTGAGGTCGTGACGTCACAACACACCACGCCATTCCCGAATTTGTACTGATGGTTAACAGTAACTATCCCACTGGGCTGCCAGCTACCTAGCCGTAGAACACGTGCAGCTAGGAAACGACTATAAACAACAGCTACCAACACATCCTGGGATCCACGTCACCATCTAGGGGGTTCACCTTTGCTTATTTGAAAGAGAGGCCACGGGCGTTTGTTACATCTGCGGCCTCACACACCTGGAGTTAGCCGCTCATCTCTTCAAGGAATGAAGACATCACTCATGAGCACGATCAAATAAAAGCATCTGTCCCATAGAAAAACTGAAAAGAGGACGGGGAAGGAAACTCAAAGTTGGGTTGTAGGGCAGTGAAGGTGGTGGTGGGGAGGGGACGGGTCTGGGAGGAAGGGGGGCCATATCATCAAAACACAGAGCATGTTCTCAGTGATCCATAGAACTATTGTCTTATGAAGACGCAAGACTGAAAATGGACCACGGCACTCTCAGGCCCCACTAACAAGTGTATGTGCGCACTAGACAGAAGACTCACGCCCAGTCAAAATGCAGAGAGGTGCAGTCTGTGGCGTGCTCAGTCACAAACGGGACACCTGCATCACACCCATCCCCCAGCGTCATTGGAGGGAGGGTGGGGAGATCCTAAGAGCCACAGGCTGTGGAGAATGCGGGTGACACAGTGTCACCTGGGCTCCTCAACTCATGGCAGCCGTGGCTGTCTGCACAGGATCAAGGTCAACATTTCAACACAGCATGTACACACACACACACACACACACACACACATGCACGCACGCACAGATTCACACCTACCCACAGAGATTCACACACACATAGTCACACAGACACACACACACATTTGGACCCTGAAACCCAACAGTCCACCTCCAGCCACTTCCTACACGATCCCCACAAAGGTGGAATTAAAACAGAGCCAACAACTGCTTCCCTATAAAGGTCCAGAGGGGGAGTGGAGGCTTTCAGCTTGGGGCCACACCCACTAGCCGCTACTATTCAACTCTACCACCATGAGCCTGCTGGCTTCCTATAGAACACCCTGAGGGACAGAGACATGGCTGGGCAGGAAAGGCACCTGCCGAGGAAGTCTGGTGGCCTGCATTCAGTCCCCCGGGACCCACATAAAGGTAGAAGCAGAAAGCCAACCCCAGAAAGTTGTCCTCTGACCTCCAAAAGTATATTGCACCAGGCACATACCTGCACTCAGACACACGCAATGGTAGTAAATAAATGCACTTTAAAACTACCCCTGCATCCAGGAGATGTAAATTTTGTGCAATTTATGCGTCATAAAACAGTCCTTTAAAAACTTTATCTCTTCAAGTATTTAAAACTGTGAAAGCCACTTCCTGAGCGCCCAGTGAGCTGGAGCCTGTCCTTGACTTAGCTGCCTGGACCGTTGACTTAGCTGCCTGGACCGTGTGTTAGTCGATACAAGTTCACCGTGACAGCGTAGCTTGAGGAGGAAGCTGGAACCACCTGCCGGCCAGGATGGAGCTTACCTTAATATGAGCTGCAGGGTCAGGGACAGTCTGGATCATGACCTTCAGCAGGCCGGCTCACTCACCAGCCATGCAGAACCCGCAACAGCTGCAAGACAAGAAGGGACGAGGGTTAGCGATCAACCGCTCTTCTGGTGTTGATTCCCCAGGAAGACTCACAGAATAGGGCAGGCCTTAGAGATGTTCAGCACGTCTGCCCCAGGACATCCTTAGGTGAATAGGGTTTGCCCCTGTCCGCCCATGATGCCACTCACTTTCAGCCAAACTTGGTCTACAAGTCCAGAAGAAACTGCCCAGCTCTTATCTTGAAATGGCCTGCATCGCCCTAGACGAGCAGTAACTTCTGATGCTGGAGGACAAGGATGAAGGGGACATTTCAAAATAACTGAAATGACAAAGTCTCGAAGTAGCAGACGTGGAAGGCACCCTGACCCTGACCACTCTACCTCACACATGTACTTCAATACCGCATCTAAACCAACAACTGGGTGCAATTAGGCCCCCAACCGTGAACACGCGTTTTCAGAAAGATGGCTGGCATCACATGCAACTCACACATCCTGCTCTAACTAACTGATCAGCGCTGATGAGTCTTTAAATAGAGAAATCAGACAAAATGCAAAGTGTTTCCTGTTGCATCAATAAGAAAAAATTTTTAAACAGAGAAATCAGACAAAACACAAAGTGTTTCCTATTGCGTCAATAAAAGCAAACAAACAAACAAAAATGGACCTTAGAGGTTCCAATGCAAACGAACGCTACCTACACATCTCTTTGTGCCTCGTCATTAAGTTCACTGTGTTTTATTTTGCAGCCAGGGTCTTAAACTCTTGATCATCCTGCCTCCTCCTCCTCCCCAGTGCTGGGATGACAGTTGTGTGACCAGCATGGGCTTCACTACTTAGTTCTTAAGAGCGCAGCCACCATTTAGCACACTCAGCACAGTGACAGCCCCAGGGTCTAAAGGACCACAAAGACATTTGACTTTTTTCATCCTGGTTTTGACTCCAAGTGATAATTCCTGCTGCCCAGGTGAGGCCACAAAGACTTGGCCAGGGATAGCTCTGTCAGGACCATCCGTTAGTAGCCAACAGAGCCAGGACTCAGGTCAGACGGGACACCTAACCCCCAAAGCCAGTGTCCTGGTTTCACTTCTTTTGAGTAACAGACACCCCGCACCAAGCAACTTGGTGGGAGGAAGGAAGCTTGGCTTGCACTTCCAGGTCGCAGTCCCTCGCAGAGAGAAGCCAAGGGACTTGACATCCGTCCTCCTCCTGTGTCATCCCCAAAAGGGCCCTGAACTAAACGTGTGCTAGATGTTTTAAGCCACCAAGGTGGATGGGGCAGCTTTATAGGCCTGCAGTTTTGTGGCCACGGGTTATTGATCTACACACTATGCCCTGAATTATCAAGGTCCTTAGCCCTTACTTCAAGCTTTTTCAGCCAGAGCCATTAAAAAAAAACTCTCAAAGACAAGAGTGGAAGAGAAACGGATGTCACCTCGACCCAGACGTCCTATTTCCAGTTGGCTGGGCTCACGGACGAATGATCTCAGCACCAGCATTTTCCTCTCTCTGTTTCCCCGGGTACTGTGTTTGCAACCATGCTTTCCCTACCATGAGGTCCCCTCCAAGTCTGAGCCAAAAGAAGCTCTTTCTTCTGTAAATTGCTTTTGTCAGGTATTTTGTCGCAGCAGTGGGGGACGTAACCAATATAGTCATCTCTCCAATCTCAGAACGACACACAGAATCTGACCAAAGGAATAAATGCCAGGAGAGGCTGGCATCCACCCAAAGACGCCTGCCCCGAAAAACAGCAGCTATGGGTACCCAGGTGCCCGCCCTACGGCTTAGGGTTAGGATATATACAAGACCATCCTGTGGCTTAGTTTGGCTAGATGTAAGACCAGATTCTAGAAGGCTTGGCAGAAGAGCTGTCCTGGAGCACAGTGCGGAGCTCAGTGTAGAACAGGAACCAGGTCTCCATCTCCATCCTTAGAAACCTGGGAATAAATGTCAAGGAGTCCTCAAAATCTCCTTATTCATAGGAGATAGAATGGGGACAATGCTACTGGAGTGTGTGGCTAGGAATGCATTTTCTCTTTTCATCCGATTCCTGGCATGAAGCTCCCAAACCTTCCTAAGTTGATGACCTCTGATGGGCCTGGGCACAGCTTTAGGTTGGGACCGGTCTCCAGAAAGATCAAACCCTGATTACTATTTCAAACTTTCACCCTCTCCCACCCCCCAACCTCGGGATGGCATAAAAGGATGGAGATGGAGTGAACCATTGTTTTCTGAGCTGATCAGCCATGACTACTTAACAAAAGTTCCATGGAAACTCCCAGTAACACTCAAGAGATGCTGTTGTGTGACATAACTTTTTCTGTGGAGACACAAGACACATATCTACTCACTCCCAGATAGGAATCCCATGGCAGACCAAAGCATGGGTACCACCAAAGTCCCAATTGGTGAATCAATGAGTTTTACTGGACTTTTGTCTTAGTCAACATTCTATTGTTAAAAAGAGACAGCATGACCACAGCAACTCCCATAAAGGCCATAAAGGAAACCATTTAACTGGGAGCTTGCTTGCTATTTCAAAGGTTTAGTCCATTATCATCATGGTGGAGAGCATGGTAGCAGGTGCTACAAAAGTAGCTGAGAGTTCTATCCTGATTCACAGGCTGCAAAAAGAGAGAGGCCCTTGGATTCTTGCCATGACCTTTGGAAATCTCAAAGCCCACCCCAGTGACACACTTCCTCCAACAAGCCCATACGCCCTGATCCTTTCAAATAGTGTCACTCCCTGGTTCCTGACAACTCAAATATATGATGAGCTTATGAGACCATTCTCATTCAAGCCACTAGAGATTGCTTACAGGGATATGGGTAAGGTGTTACTTATTAGAGCAGAAATGACTCAAAGAGAGCTGCATCACCAAGGCCCACCCCAGCATGGGTGACAGCTCACAAAAGCTGGGAACCTGGAGCACACGGCAAAGTGTGCAGGCGGCTCAACAGGTTGGAGAGCGTCCTTTACAAGCGACTCTGCTCATCTAAACCTCTTCCAGGCTGGTTTCTGCTTCTTCCGGGCAACAGGTCTCAAGGATTTTCCTTGCTGCTCTGCTTCTCTTGCCTTGAAACAATTCTCAGCTTTTATTGATTATTCCTGCAGAGAGGCTTCTAGTGAATCTGGTTGATTTCAGGGACTTCCTGAAACTGTATTGAGTTGTTTGCCTTCCTGCTTAAAGAAGGTAAATATCCCACTGGATAGAATGTTTCCATCACAGAAGAAACTGTTACACAACAGATGGGTGCAGGAAACCGTACTCACATCTGAATCCTTCTGAGACTCACACTGTAAATACCCTCATCAGCTCACCATGGTTGTCCTCCCTACCCAATGTAGTGGTACCTCGCTCTCTTGAGTTCTATGAGTCATCTCAAAAAGTTATTGAAACCAAAAGTGAATTCATGGGTACTCCAGGATGTTGCAATCAAGTTGAGGCCAAGTGTGAGTCACGTGGAGACTCATCCGGTATCTGAAATGAGGATACCTGGAGGAATTGAGCCCCCAAACCCATGGTTTTGGATGCTAACTCCAGGCTGGTGGTGGTAGCAAAACTAAACAGATTCTCAGTGTTAGAGTGTTGAATAATTGAGTGCTGTTGACAGAATCATTGTGTGTTTAGTGTCTGGAAATAAACGTGAGGCTTGGCTGGAAGCTACCTTAACTGTCTGGTAGGCAAGTGGAGCCTCTTCTGTGAACCCTTTCAGGCTCTCGGGATGGGGAGGATGGACTAAGTCTGTGATATCTCTCAGTGTAGGAAGCATGAGGCATTTTATTGGGAGGGAACCGGTGACATGAAGGAAGTAAAAACCAGGCTGGGGAGATGGCTCTGTAGTTAAAGCTCTTACCTTCCCTGCATGCAGACTGAGGTTCAGATACCAGGAACTAACATGAGTCTCAAACTGGTACACAGCCACTTGTACATCCTGTGCTCAGAAGACAGAGATGGGATCCCTGGAGTCAGCTGACTAGCCAGACTAGCCGATTCTCAAAGCTCTGGGCTCAGTTGAGAGACCCTGCCTCAATGAATAAGGTGGGGCTCAATTGAGGAAGACTCCTAACATCAACCTCAAGCCTCCACAAACACATACACACATGATCATGTGCACCCACATGCATACACACACCACAAGCATACACACACATGAACATGTGCACCCACACACATACACACACCACATACATACACACATATAAATATGTGCACAGCACACATGCATACACACACATGAACATGTACACCCACACACATGCACACACCACATGCATACACACACATATGAGAGACAAAAGCAAAAGTACCCCAACTGGATTATTCTGATATGGAAATAAACTGTTGCTACATGAAGTAAAATAATAACTAATCTGCTACATTTTGTAAGGGCCCTTTGTCAATTTCTTTTTCCAATGTTAAGCTACCTAGTCATTACGTGTAAACAGTTTAGGCAAAGTGGCCCACAGCAAGGAAGACTGGGAAGCCCTTGACGGAGCTGGCCCAGATGCACTTGCTCTGGGTCAGGGTGGAGCAGGCGTGTGGGTGTCTACCCACAGCACAATCACATAGAGACCTCTGATGATTGGCTTCTGGGACTCCTGCTAGGAGCATCAGCACCCACTGGTCCCAGGCTGGGACCTCCCAAGAATACCAGGGAGTGAAGGGCAGGAGGACTCAAGGGGCCACAGTTAAAGAGGCTCTCCCTCTGCAGCCTGTGCAAACACAGAGAGTGAGGCCACCTTAACTCTGTGCCTCCCCGGCCTGCTCGAGTCCAGCAACGGCAGATACCCGGAAATAAGCAGGTACCATTGGGGAGACCATGAGTTGAAGGCCTGGCCCCAAGCCTGGAACCCTAGCAAGAGCCTTTAGAAGGGCCTAGAAGGAGGAGGTGAGGCTGTCAGAGGCATGGTGCTGAGCGGATATCGAGACTCCAGTCCCTTCCCATCTCTTCCAGCAACCATAACACGGGCAGCCTCCACGACCCCATACCCTCACCACGATGCACTAGACTTCTGTGGTCCCAGAGCGACAGGGCCAATAAACATGAATGAAAACCTCTCCAACCCCGAGCCAAGACAAGCCTTCCCACCTTTTAAGTTTACTTGTCTCTGCTTTTTGTTTTGTCCCAGTAACAGAGAACTTCCACAGCAGCAGAGAGAGAGGGAGACAGAGAAGGGTGAGAAACTCGGTTTGCCCATGTCTATCAAAGCCTGGGGGCTTCTTTGGGAAACACCAGCTCATCTTTGTAAACGAATGATTGCCCACTCCCGGAATCTGACTTCCATCATTTCCCCCCTCTCCCCGTTTATGTGTTGGAGTCCTACCAGTTCCTAAGTTTGTCTGTGGTCGGAGATAGGGGCTTTACATGCAGAATGAAATTAAAATGATTCCCTCATGCAGTTTATGTGGTGTTCTAAAAGTATATTTTTGAAATGTATGTATGTATGTATGTATGTATGTATGTGCTGAGGAGATGGGCCGGCAGTTAAAATACTTGCTGCACAAGTATACATAAAGGCCAGAGTTTGGATCACCAGAGTCCACATAAATGTCAGGTGAGCTTGGTGAACCTGCTATAATTCCAGCCCCAGAGGGCAGAATCTAGGGTCCCCCAGAGCAGGCTGGTTGACTAGACTAGCTATGTGAGGGAATGCTGTGTTCAAATGAGAGATTTTGCCCCCATGAATATTGTGGAGAGTGATTGGAGAAGACTCTCGGTATCAACATCAGGTCTCTGCATGCATGTGCACGCACATGGATGTGTACTGCACACATGTGTGAGCCCCATACATGAAATTACTCATGCATGCAGGTACTCAACACACACACACACACACACACACACACACACACACACACACACTGGGGTGGGGGGGATCAGAGATCAACTTTTATCAAGGGAAGAAAAGGATGGACACCCATCACAAAAACAAAGGAGGCCTGGCACAGATGTTCCCGAGAGTCCTTAAAAGGAGCCAGCCTTCCCACCCCTTAATCTTGAACTTGCAACCCAAAGAACTACGAGCCTTTCTACTATGTAAACCTTCCAGTCTCTGCTGTTTCGTTACGGCAGCGGTGGATGGCTTACTTGTATGCTTCCACTGGACACCGTGATAAAACAGTAACTCATAAGGAGCAAAAGCCCCTGGTGGCCAGACGTACTCCATCTGCTGACACTACAGTGTTTCTTCCTGGAGAGCAACTCTGTTCAGGGAATGTCGCCAGCATTATGTGCCACCACGCCCCTTCCCCCCGACCCCACATCTGGTAATTACTCCTGGGACTCTGGGACTGAAATCTGTGAGCCACATGTAACCTTCCCTATGGAGTGCTTTTTTTCTGAGGGGGTGGGGCACACATTGACCAGGGAGCACAGGGTGTGTGTGCCCTGCCTGTGAGATGCTGGCTTTATCTCACTTTCTGACTTTGTTCTTGCTTTGAGGCACAGTTGGTCAACAGGGACTCACTCGTCTTTGTGTGGCCTCCGTAAATGAGGATGCTACTGTATTGCATGAAACACCTGCCTTTGGGAGGAGCACGAAGACATTATAAAAGCATGCATGTACGGACACTGCCCTTGGCCCCTACATTCTTCCTGAAGGGCAGAGGGAGAATGTAGGTGGTGGATAGAGGAACTTTAAAGGCATCAGGATTGACTCTGAAATCCGAAGTGTGGGAAGAAGGAACAGGCTGAGACCCAGCCTGTGGTTTGGGGGAAGTATCTGAGGGGATCTGTGGAGGTTTGGGACCACAAATACCAAGTGTTTACATGTGTGCACTTTCTTTAAAAATCTTAACTGAGGGGTGGTCAGCTGTGATAGATACTTCATTGCTGTAATAAAATACCGGAAGCAGACTATTATGAAGAAGGAGGTTTAGACCAAAGTCCAAACAACGTGTCATAGACCCTCCTCCCTATTCTACATCACAACAGAGCAGGAGATGTTGCATCTTTATGTAGCTTCTCGCCTCATCTAGGACTCGGGCAAGGGCGTGTCACCGTAAAGATCCGATTTGCTCTGTCACCTCCCAGAGGTCCCCGCCCCCTAAACACCACATGCAGATGACCCCATCCCCTCAGGGCCACTGATGAAACCCTTAAACTGAACTTAGAGTGACGAGCTGTCTCCAAACAGCAACAGAGGGGGCGGTGCCTTATTTATGCCATAGCTCTTCATGTTTACCTTTACTTGTTCTTGGCCCCGCCATCTTTTTTCTCTGGCAGTCATTTGCCCTGCTCTTGACCAACACAGCTTTTCTTGGGTCACCAAAGGTCTTGGAACGACCTGAAATTAAATTTAAAATTTCAAGTCTTATTTCCCCAAATATAAATAACCAAGATTAACTGCATAGTTAACATCAAAATCTATTTCTTAAAAACACTATTTTAAAATATCCTAAGGGAGGGGGGTGAAAATCTTCCTGAGAGAGAGAGAGAGAGAGAGAGAGAGAGAGAGAGAGAGAGAGAGAGAGAGAGATGGCCGGGACATTCTACTCTTGTGAGGGAATTGGGTGTTACGAAAGAAAATTTGGTAATAAAATAAAGGTGGGGCCAAGCTAAGGCACACGGGCTCTTGTAGAGAAGACATCACTATTTCCATTTCTCAGAGCCCCCAAAATTAATACCAGTGGCTTCCCAGGTCATTGCCGTGGTATGTTGTCTGCTCAAAACAGAGTCAGTGTTCATTAAACATCCCTTGGAGGTGGGGGAGAGGGAACTGGAGAAGTGTCCGGGCCAGAAGAATGCTGGCCTCACAGACATGGGACCCTGAGTTCAGTCCCCAGGGAAAAGCCAGGCACAGCAGGTTCTACAGGCTTTAATCCCGGTGCTGGGGAGAGCAGCCTGAGGCTCCCTAGTCAGCCAGGTTGGCTTAGTCTGAGAGCACGGCATCCCAAAGAGGCTTCTCAAAAAGCAAAGTGGGCAGTGCCTGAGGACTGACACCTGAAGCTGACCACACACACACAGACAGACAGACAGACAGACAGACACACACACACACACACACTACCAAGCACATACACGAACATGCATGCACACTTATAATAAAATCATCCCACAGGCTATCATTAAACAATGATTTTTAGTTTGAAAGAATAAAAAAGCAACTCTTTCAGTTTGTAAATGCTACAAAGTTTTTTTTTTAAGATTAGAATATCACCACGTTAAAAAGAAAAAAAAAGTCTTGCTTAGAATATTCTGGCACACAAAATCTAAAACTCAATTTCTTTCTTTTTTGCCTTTTTTTAGCTATACATGCATATCTGTGCTTTTACAACTTTCCAAGGAAAACACCCATTCACAAATACTATATTCCGTACAATCATAGCTGCAGAAACCAGAACACTGAGTCTGTTTCCATCGAAAACACTTTCAAATTAGAAAATGGCTTGGGTATTGAATCAAAATCAATATTTGCCATCGGCGATATTATGTACAAATGTTTCCTTCCATTCCTCTCAGGAAGCTCCCAGCCAACTCCACCCAAATCATCCTGGCCTGAGTGAAGACAGACGCTCACTTCAAATTGTCCAAACGTCACAACCAAGCCCTTGCCACGAGAAGGGAAATACAGGCAGACTGTTGACGGACAGAGCCAGGATGCAACCTTGCAGAAGTAAGAGACAGAAGAGAGAAGAAAAGGGAGAGAAGGGAGGAGCAGGTAACATGAAGGAAGCAAAGGTCAAAAGGTGACAGGCCTGCCCTGGGGTTTCCAAAGCCAATTATAAGGGGCCCTTGCTTTCCCGCTAAACTCTTTATAGATGTGTTTCTTAATTGGGAAAAAAAATTTAAATGTATTCGTGTATCATGTTCAGCTAAGAGAAGCTTCGCACTCTTTTTTTTTTCAGATTATGTGTTTTCCAGTTTTCAAAACTAAGAATAGACCCTTCACAATTCTGAACATATTTCAATGTTTCCTGCATGGCTGTAGCTACTTTCACCATCAGGCAGGGCTGAGCATTGGCTCGTCATCTTCCCTGTCTCCATGCACTCCATGGCAAGAAGACTGTGCCGTTATGTTTCCAAGGCTGTGAAAAGCCTCAGCCCACAAAGGTGTCTCCAAGTTTCTTTTTTTTCTCCAAACCCAAAGCCAATACGGATTACTGCCTAGTTAACTATTTTCCATGGACAGTGGTAAGGGCAGTATTTCATTTCCAGTTGTTGCAAAGGGAATACGAACTTTGAAATCATGAGCTAAGATTCGGTATGCTGGGCTATACTGTGCAGTGTTTTCATGCCAAAACCTCTGGGCTCAAAGAATGGCTTGACTTATTTATGGTGGAGACAGTGTTGGACCTGATTTTTAAGACCAAAGTAAAATCCCAGAGAGGATTCTATTGAATATGTGCAATGGACATTTTTAAATCAGCATGATAGAATTATTAATATTTCATTTATCCTAAGGGTATTTATCTGACAGTGCAAATTATCCATAACACAGCTGAGAAGCCACAATGGATCCAAAAAGATGTCACAAAATCCCAGGGAACCGAGCTTTGCCAGAGAGAGGCATGCTACCAGCCTCGTGAGGTAACAGCTGGCCTGGTCAGAGCACAAAAAGACAGAGTTGTGCAAGCCAGACTAAGGAACTCCAAAAATACAGCTGCCAGATAATGGAGGATGAGTGTGAACAGCCAGCCCAACTCAACTGTGCCTAGCCGCCATCTGTGAACAGCAGAGCCTGCCCAGGGGGTGCTAGCCCTGCAGACGAGGCTTCATGACATACCCCTGGAGCTCAGTTGGTGCAGGAAGAAAATGGAAACACCTACTGGTCAAAGGCAAACACGGATGGCCATCCAGAGGCATGGCTTAACTTGCCCAAGCATCCAGGTTGGGGCAGGCTGGGCTTGGGGCCCCAGGTAGGAAGGCTACAGAGAACAGAGCCTGTGTCTCAGAGAGTATACAGACCAGACAAAGTGTGCCGGTGACACTGTAGTATGAATTTCAGGCATCAGCCACCTCCCCGTCTCCCAAAAGCTTAAGGGGGTGGGGACAAAATCTTCCCAACAGATTTTCCTAACCACCATGTGTCAGCAATATGAATATTGACAAGAAGATGTCAGCTGTTGGTAAGACAGAGAGGAGCTAAACACCCACAGGAGGAGTCCTGAGGGCCAGGAAACAGCCTGGGAGGGATGAAAGGTACTTGTGTCTTGAGTATGACACACCCCCAACACAAGCTCACGTGCAGAAAGCTTGGTCTCCAACCTTGTGGTGTTTGGAGATGTGGGGGAACAACTCAGGAGGCCAGGCCCAGCTGGCAGAAGTGGGGACACACATTGGAAGGTTATACTGTGTGCTCCTCTCTCTCTCTCTCTCTCTCTCTCTCTCTCTCTCTCTCTCTCTCTCTCTCTCTCTCCCTCTCTCTCTCTCTCATTCTCTCCCTCTCTCCCCCTGCCTGTCTCTGTGTATGTCTGTCTCTCTATCTCTGTCCTTTTTTTTTTTTAAGGTGGTCTTTGGGCTGGAGAGATGGCGCAGTGTTTAAGAGCAGTGGCTGCTCTTCCAACACCCACATAAAAGCTCACAACCATTTGTAACACCGGTTCCAGGGGGATCCAACACTCTCTTCTGGCTTCTGTGGGCACTGCACACACACGATACACACATACATGCATATATGCAGGCAAACACTCCCACACACAAAACAAAATAAAATTACTCCTTTAAAAAATATGGGGTCGTTGAAACAACATAATTTGGAAATAAAAGATTTATGCATCTTCCTCCTCAATATTTAAGATAAGAACTATGAGCCTCTCCACAAATACCCTTCACTGATACTCAGGGGATCTTTCTCTATATCTCTCTGTCTCTCTCTCTGTCTCTCTGGATTTCCAGGTATACATCAGGTTTACACAGATTTTCCATCATTAAACTGCCCTTCAGTGTCTGGAAGTCATGAGGCAAGTTTGGCGCTTGAGGAGATTGGGGAAGGGACGGATAAGCATGACTGGACACGAGCAGTGAGCCAGAGGGGAGAAAGCTACGTCGTGTGTCCCTGAACTCCACAGAGTCCAGCTAGTTCACAAAACAAAGCATGATTCCCCTCTGTGTGGTGGGCGACCACAGCGGGAACACCAGCCACAAAGCCAGACAATGGGAAGAGTTCAAAACCAAGATGACCACAGCCTGGCTGTCCACAGCAAGACAGAGGGAAACAGGACCAGGAAATACAACAAGGGAGTAGGGGGGGGTTGGGGGGGATGCAGCATCAGGGATAGAACCAAGATGTCTACAGAAACGACAAACGCCAAGAGTCATCGTAGTGGTCTGTGAGGACTGGTGTCCCCAGGTCCGCTTCAAGCCACCCCTCTCCTTGTCCTTGTTGGCCCCTGGGGCCTCATGCTGGGCTGACAATGGTAGCTAGTTATAGCATCCATCTGTGGGGGCTGAGAAGCAGGGGCTTAAGTCACAGAGCCGGAAGCTTCCTTTGAGAAGCCATTTTCCCTCAAGGAGACACCAACAAAATCCTCCAAAGGCAGGTGAGTCCCAACCCAGTGTCCCAGGATATGGCTCTTCCGTGCAAAGAATGCTCCCCTCCCCTTGTATCCTGGAGTATAATGACAGGTCCACGGGAGACACAGAAATGGCAGCCCCTTGCATGCCAGGACGGTGGGACCCGACTCAGACTCAGCTTCCTCAGTCCTACAGACTGCCCACATGTGCTGAAGATGGAGGAGAGCAGGACAACAGGCTCGTTTTCTTCTGACTGGAGCGTTGGTGACCAGATCTTCCTGTGTGTGTAGCATCCCGGAACCAGCCGAAAGAAGATTCCAGCAGCTGAGAATGGCTGAGTTTGGCTCCAGGATGTCAAGGGGGTCTGTGCTTGCTTTGTTTATTTTTATTTTGATATTTCGGATCAAATACACAGAGCGCCCTGTATAAGTAACTCATGGAGTGTCAGCTTGAGACTTGAGGGAATTTCAAAACCCAATTTTAGCTCTTTGAACATCAAGGGGAGGCCTGGGCTTACATCCGGTCGCTGTGACCAATGCACTTGTGACTCCTCCGACAGCGATGGATGTCCGGTTGGATTTTCTGTCTCTCTGGTTATGAACATGGAGAACCCCAGCTCTTGTTGTTGGAAATGATGATTTTTTTAGACAGGGGAGCAACTGGGTTTCAGGATGGAGCCAACTAAGAGACCTTCCCCACCCATTCGGATGAGAGCCCCCCCATTCATCAGCCGCACAGGGCAGGAATCCAAACACATGTCACCTCCAGTGACAAGAACACCTACTGGGAGCTCAGTTATACCTCTGCTATGCTCCCAAAAACACCTAAAAA